CCCCCCCCCACACACTCTCTCTCTCTCTCTCTCTCTCTCTCTCTCACACACACACACACACACACACACACACACACACACACACAAAGATATAAATAAGTGTTAAAGGGGGAATGCAGATTGAAACACAGGGTAGGGACCAGGGTGAGGCTGGAGGAGTGGTATTTTGATTGCTTAAGGTTGAAAAGGGAGCAGAGAGTGCAGCTAAGAAGCACGAGGAAGTAGAAAGGGCAGAGAAATTCACCCATTGCTAGAGACGCAAAGGTGTGTTCAGCCACCACCCCTGGGCCGCATACAGCCCAAGGTCCTTCTTTTGTGCTATAGTACCATGAATCACACTCAGAGCTTGGACAGCACCGAGAATACATAGCCCATGACGGGTCTTTCTTCAGTGGAAAACCCAAAAAGTTGGAGAGCCCTCCAGGACTGGCCTCTTTCACGGTATTCTCCAAATACAGAGGAGCTCAAGTCTTCAACACATTAATTTTGACAGATGGACTTTGTCCTCTCAGCCACAAAAATTCTCAAGAACTAAACCACTGGACCAGAACCATGCAGCATAAGCTCCTCCTAGGGTAAAAAGGTGGACAATCTTGTTTCTACTTCTACTACTCTTTCCAAGTCATTTACTCTTCACAGTTGCCTGTAAAATTTAGGTCAGAGGTGCCCAAGCCCACTGAGTCTTGCCATCTGGACCTGCAGTTTGATGGCATGGCCCAAGCATGCAACAAGACTCAAGCAGTCACAATCACCCTAGCTAGTGCCAAACTTTAGCCCTCATACTGCTGTCAAAAGGGTTGGTCCCTCTCCACTGTGGGCCTCTATGGTGGCATCTTGACCCCGGGGTCTCTCTCCCTTTCTTCATGGTGGGAGCAGTTAGCACCGTTAATGGGCAGTAGGAACGAAATGGATTTCAGCTTGAGTAGGCAGAAGGAAGTGCCAGGTCTCCGTGCAGAAAACCCTGCGAACTGTTCGGTGCTGAAAGCTAGCGTTAGTAGGCAATCTAGCAGAAATGAGATGAGGCCATCAGAATCATTCTGCAGTTCTGCCCCCAGGAGTCAGAAATAACTCGGGGGTAGGGCACTAGCTGGAAATCATGAGACCTCTCCATGGACTGGGCAGACGACATTGGACAAGGCATTTGACCTGTCCATTTCTGGGGTCTTTAATTTCTCCAGTTATGAAAAAAGGGGTTGAGCCGGGCGGTGGTGGCGCACGCCTTTAATCCCAGCACTCGGGAGGCAGAGGCAGGCGGATCTCTGTGAGTTCGAGACCAGCCTGGTCTACAGAGCTAGTTCCAGGACAGGCTCCAAAGCCACAGATAAACCTTGTCTCGAAAAACCAAAAAAAAAGAAAAAAAAAGAAAAGAAAGAAAGAAAAAAGGGGTTGATCAGACCAGAACTTCTGAACCCTGGCTATTTATTTGGGTCATTCTGCAAATAAATTCTGCATTGGCTATTATATTGGGTCAGGCTAGGTTTAATATTTCATACATACGTACATACAAATATATGCACATTACATATGTATATGTTGTGATGTGTGTATATATTAAATCTATATGTTAAACATATATAAATATATTGATGCTTAGGCTTCATCAATATGGATTCTTACTTTTATGATCTGCAGGGCACCTATGGGGGGGTCACAGGTACTTTTGTTTTAAATTCCCATATGATCACATCAGTTTAAGGCAGGGTTCAGAACCATAGGCGCAGATCAGTGCTTCTTTGCTGTGGGATAATACTCTTGTACACTGTAAAGATTTGTCTTGTATTAGTTTAATAAAACACTGACTGACTAGTAGCCAAGCAGAAAATATAAGCAGGCCAACCAGACTAGAAGAATTCTGGGAAGAAGAAAAGGCGAAAGGTGAGTTGCCAGTCAGACACAAAGGAAGCAAGGTGAAAATTCCTTACTGAGTAAAGGTACCAAGCCACATGGCGAAGCATAAATAAAAATTATAGGTCAATTTAGGTTGTAAGAGCTAGTTAATAATAATCCTGAACTAATAGGCCAAATACTTTATAATTAATATAAGCCTCTGAGTGTTTATTTGGGACTGAATGGCTATGAGACAGGGCAGGACAGAAACTTCCATCTATACTTTTTATATGCAGTGGGCGCCTAATTGGATTGTTCCTGGGTATTCTGCTCAGAGCTGAACCCTAAGATTTTGCTTTTCTAGCGTTTCTAAATTGAGTTCCCATCACTGGCCCAAGAAGCATGTACCGTGTAGTGGCTGCTCTTTTATCTTATGACAAACTTAACCACAACGTAAACCCACAAACATCTTCTCCTAGATGTAAACTTTTAGTTTTAACTGCTTAATGCCATTTGGAAGTCAAAATGTTTTATTTACCCCAAAATGCTTGTCTTTATTTTGAAAACTGGAAGATTTATCGCCCAGGGCTTTCAATCTCAAACAATCAGCAGAGGTGAGTGGCCACTGTCCCAGGGAAGTACAAGCTGTTCAGTCACCACAGCCCAACCTACCCAGTCACTCTTTGTGTCCTTGCACCGAAAAAGATCTGACGGCAGCCCCCTGTGAAGTGAGACTTCCTTCAGGAAGGAAAGCCAAAGGCAATGCCCCTGGTATGGAACACAGATTTCATGGCCTGTAAAGGAGATGTGAGGTTAGGAACGTGAGCCCGAGTGTTTGCTCGCCAACCCCAGAGGTAGGGAGGATGGGACATTTTAAAAGATGTCTCTAAAAATAAACTACGGCTGACTATCTGCATAATTTAAGCTGTCAATGGTTTTCTAAGCAGGATTGGAAAAGAGCTATTCTTCTCCCCACATCAATAATAATAATAATAATAATAATGATGATGATAATGCATAGACTATAATGCATTAAATTCAAGAATTTTTGCTAATCAAAAGGTGTAAGTAAAAGAGTGCTGCGCAGCTGGCAGAGTAAACGAAAGCATTAACACTGCAGACAGTCATCAAAGAACTTGAACCTAGAGTATACAAGAAAGTACATGAGAACCCTTCAAGGGGGCACTGGAGAGATGGTTTCTCAGTTGAACATACTCGTTTTATTCCTAGCGCCCACACAGTGGGTCACAACCATTTGTAACTCCAGTTCCGGGGGACCCAATTCCTTCTTCTGACCTCCCCAGGCACCCAGCGTGCGTGTAGTACACATACGCACATGCAAGCAAAATACATAAAATAAAATGAACATCTTTAAAGCTCTTTTAATCTGTAAGAAACAAGCATGCAGGGTAGCGATGAGCTTCGTATGCGTATAGGGTAGCAAAAGTCAACCTGCACGTGCTGGGCAGGTGAGTGGCCAAGCTTGGTAAATGGAGCAGGGCCAGGAGAGAGGAGCACTTTGTGGCAGGCAGAGGTGGAATGGGTGGGGAGCTATGGGACATTCTCAGCAGTGCAGGGGCTCAATGAAAGTGATCGCTTTGCTAGGAGAAGCACAGGAGGGACACAGAAGGAACCGGAAGGTTCAGGCCAGCTGGAAGGCCATTAGAAAGTTAGGGGATGGAGTGGGAGACTAGACTGTAATTTGAACAGTGAGAAGTAAGAGAGCGGAGTGAACAACACTGTGCCTTAAAGTAAGAGAGCGAGAAGGGCCCCTGACCTGCCAAAAGACTGACGCTAAATATGAGGGAGAAAGAAACATCACAAAAAAATGAATGTTGGGCAGTTTAGGCATAGAAATGAGTGGTGAGTTTACCAAAGTCACACAGTAACTTAACAGAGGTCATCCAAATCCCTGGGGACAGACGTGGTTATTTCTACTATAGTAGCTGACCTTGGAACTCTAAGGTCAAAAGGTCTCTGATAAGGAGAGCATCCCAACACAGACACTTGCTGGAAGTGAAGCCCCGCCCCCTTCTCTTCTTCTGGCTTCTCTGCTCCAACCCTCACTCCAAAACTTCAAGAAAATCGACCTTGAAGGCTCACTTGCGTGTTCTTTATTACTTCACCCATGTTTTTTCGTTTGACCCAGAAGACACGCCATCAGCAGTTTTTGTGAGCTAAGCCCACATCTCCTTGCTGGAAGAAAACACAGACTCTTAACTACAGTTACATCCATCTATATGGATGTAGCTCAGACTGCAAAGTAGCAATGGGGTCGGCAAGCAATCTGCATAACAATAGCATTTTGTTGATGTTGAAAACTGCAAACTGTTCTTGCAGTGAGGGAATGTGTGTAGAGATGGAAGAGGGAAAAAAAAAACACAGAATTCACAAAAGTGATTGGTTTTGCTGAGTGAGTTGTGGGAGTCAGATTGGAAGGAGCCATCCAGGGGACCCTAACTGTGGATGCAACTTTTTTATTTATTCAAAAGGAGAAAGAAAAGAAGCAGTTCTGATGGTACAAAATGATAAAGTGGATGGAACTCATTATTCCAACACTGTGTGTCATCACTGTCTTCAAATTCAGAGTGGTGTCCTGTTGATTGCTGTGTGCGCTCCCCTCCTCGTGTGATTCTATCAGTGAGTCGGTCTTAATAGAAAGGCTGAAAAGAGAGCAATGGTGTCTACAAAAAAAATTCTCCCCTCCATCTTCTATGTAAAAATTTCTGCCAGTTCCCTACAAAGGGGTGTTGGGGATAAGGGACAAGAGCTAGGAGCTTCCGCCATGACTTCCTTTGTGACCTGAAGTGGGCACTTGTTGGCGATTAAGAACAAGAGACCCAAAGGGGAGGAGTCAGAGGCCTGGCAACTGGCCAGGACCCTCCCTCTCACCACATGCTAGTGGGAGAATTCTGTAGAAAGCAGAAGACTCAACCAGAGGAGCTGCAGGAAGGGTCTACAGTGCCTTCTTCTGCAGAGGAACAGAGCTTGCGGAGGCAGCCCAAGCCAGCTTTCATTACTGCTACACCATGGCAAATCTGGGCAGCCACCCAGGGTCCCACATCATCTCGAACCTTCTCCCTTGCCTCCCCTATACACAAGGACACATGGTTTGGTCTTCATTGTTAACTCCCACGTACACAGACCCAATAGCAACAGCAGCCAAAGAAACTAGAACACAGACCTCTCTCCGGTAGAGAATAGCAAATTAGAGAAGAGGTGTGGCCCATATTAGCTAACAGCAGAAGAGCCGGCCAACTCTGAAAGTCACATCTATGAGACACACTGTCCAATCTAATCCCTCCCACCACTCAGTGCAGCCCACAGTCAGATAACTGCTACCCGAAGGTCCCAGAGACTTCCCTAAGGTCGTGCAAAAGTTGTTGTCCAGAGAAGGGTCTCAGACTCTGTGACATTTCCCTAGGATACACCGGGAGGCTAGGATGGAAATATTTACACCATCTGGCCTCAAATGCATCCCTAGCGACTTCCCTCAGGAAAAGGCTGGTGGGTGGAGAACAATACAGGAAGAATGACTGGAAGGCTGTGACAGAATAAATAGTAAGCTGGCTCCTGGAGAAACAGTAAATCCAGGGGCTGCCAGGGGCTGTGCTGGAAAAAAAAAAAAAAAAGCAAAAGGGTGAAACTGAGGGACGACAATGTCATCAAACTTCAAGGACGCCTTCGGTATCAGTCCGAGTTTCGCACCACTGAACTTGTCCCAAATGGAACCCCGTCAAACAACAGCCGAGTTCCTCCCACTGAAGTTAGGGTCAGTGTCAGGGGCCTCAGACTTTCTAGAGGATCCCACGGACCCCAGAGATGTGATATTTGAGGGTCACAGAAATAGTAACAAGGCCTGACATCTATTAGGCGTGAATAACCGTGCACTGAACTGTTTTCTATTTTGAATGTATAGACTTGAACCCCCAGAAATTTGGAGAAACAAAATATGTCACAGCCTTTTGTGATAATTGGAGTTTGTCTACGTATAGTTTTGGGTGGGGTTCATGGTGTCCCTTGTCTAGGAAGAAGTCCTTGCTATAAGTGTCAAAATGTGTAGGGCAGGACTTATGGCTTACTTGGGGTTCGCTTTAAAAATCTCAAGTCCTTTGGGGAGCCCAAGTCACAGACCATAGAAGAAAGCAATAATTCAGAGGAAAAGCCCTTAGCTAGCAGAACCTCCCAGCTATGCTCACCAGAACCATGGTGACCAGAACCTTGGTGGTGCTCACCAGAACCTTGGTGCTCACCAGAACCATGGTGGTGCTCACTAGAACCTTGGTGCTCACCAGAACCATGGTGGTGCTCACCAGAACCATGGTGGTGCTCACCAGAACCATGGTAGCTCTCCAGAAAGAAACGTGACCCTAATAAAGGTGCAGACCGATGCTTTAGAGCAGCGTCCCTCCATCCCCCAAGTGAGTCCTCCCCCAGCCCAACCCCGCCCTTTTCCCCTAGAGCCACAACCGATCCGGATGGACATCCTACAGTGTGACCACAGGGCTTCCTTCAGCTGCTGAGCTATGCAAAGCTGCAGGCGTTCCTCAGCAGTATGACCAACTGCCCTGGTTCGCCGTGGAGATCTGGGTTATAGAGCTGACCGCATCCCAAGAATGCCCTCAGTCTCAGGCAAACCAGGAAGACTGGTCACCTTGTGTCCAGATTGCTGGACAGCTTCTTAGCATAACTTTCCATGACCTCGACTCCATAGGCTGGGCCACCGTCGTAGGTAAGAGGAGGGAAACAGCACTGCTTCCTCTGCAGCAGAAGCCCTGATGAAAATAGCGCTGAGTGACCCCAAACAAATTTATGACCGTTCATGGGCCACAGAGGAACTCACTGTGGAGCCTTCTTCCTGTACTAGGGAATCTTGGGAAGAAAGGAAGGAAGGGCTTAGTCACACACTAGGAGTGGCTGCCAAGAGCAGCCCTCACTCCCTGTTCACAAAGTGCAGACCCGGCACAGAACCTACTTCTCAGGTAAAGTAGAATTTCCCAGACTTCATTGCCTTTTTGCACCCAGAATGGGAAACGCCAAACTAGAAGGGGATGAGAGGCAGGCAGCCAGAAAGTACAGCCATCTCCCAATCTTTGGAAGGAGAGTTTCTCCAAAACACCAACTTCCCTGGACCAGCACTCCAGTTTAAGACCCAGGCCAGATCCCCTTAGGAAACTCACCTGGGCCCCAGGGCAGACTCCGCTCCCCAGGGATACAGAAGCAGCCACCCATGTGTGCACCATTCTCCCTGGGCCAAGGCCCCTGGGAACGCCAGTCAGAAGAAACTTGGGAGCCTCCCATCAGAGGCCCTCCTCCCGCCTCCTCCCTGGCACGCGAGGGACCGAGGCTGCTCAATGCACAATGCAGCCTTTGATATCCGGCCTGCTGTGGGGAGGCCAGGGAAGGTGGGAGGGGCCACTCAGCCTGCAGGCCAGATAGTCCTTGCTGTCAGGCCTTGGCCTGGGGAGCAGCTCCTCCCTGCCTTTCGACAGATTGCTTCATGCCTATCAGGCTGTGGCACATTCCTCGCATTCTAGGATCCAGACACAGTTCGGTTCTTGTGAGGGTGGCCAGGGCAGAGGAGGGTAAAGAGCATCCTGGGAATCGAGGGTGTCATTCTTGCTGGCTCCCAGATGGTCTAGGCCCACAGACTCCCCTGCCAGCTCTTAGAAAGCCTCTCTGCAAATGCTTCCTTGGTAAAGTCAGGCCAGTGAGTGATAGTCTGTAGTATCAGTGAGCCACTTACTGGCTGGTGAACAGGATTGAGCACCCCACCTTCCAGTTGCGGCCCCCCAAAGTCCTGGTGGGAGAGAATCCAGGAAATCATCCAGTGTTACCAAGAATTTTATGGTTGAAGAACTGGACTACCCAAACCATTTTAAGGTGTCAGACATTCATGAAGAACTGGTCGTGCTGGACCAAGCTCTTTTCTGTTTCAGATGGGCAGTGGAGTCGGGGAATGCACCTCACACAACGGGGCTGAGCCTCAGAAATCTCCCGTGAGATCACTCACAGGAGGCAGAGAGAACAGGCTGCATACCTTTGAGACTGCTCAGATGCTTGACTGCTCAAACTAGCCAGTCACAGGATCACTGGGCACTGACCTTCTTACCCAGAGCAAAGGTCTGCAGGACCGCCCAAGGACAAGACGGTACTGGCAGAGAGAGGCAGAGTCCTGGCAGCAGGCTTGTGTCTCGGGCTCTCTGGAGGCAGAACTTTCAGGCTTCGCTGGGCTTTTAGGAAGGGCCGTGACCTGGTCAGTGGGATGACAGTGAGAAGGACTGAAGTCTGTCTCTCTGGAGTGATCCTTAGTGTCCACAGTGGATCAGCCTAGGGACACACAGCACACGGCCTCCAGCCGGCCTCCACTACAGCTTCAGAAACTGTGTGCTAATTGGTTGTGCGTCAAAAAGAAGCTGTTTTCTTCAGCCAAGCACTATTATGTATTATTTAAGGACCACAAGAGCCCCATAATATAAACGTTTTTCTTTTTGATAAGGTAGAAAGCAAGTGAAGGGGGTCATTTAACTTGCCCAAGTCTGCACATACATGCACACACACATGCACACACATTCACACATACACCATTTCTGAATGTCAGACTTAGTACCTGCGCCCATCCTGGTTGGTCCCATGTTTTAAGTATCACCTTTCTGACATGTGAGCTCATCCACCATTATCAGAACACAGTGACATGTTCTTACAGAGACGTGTTCTTACCCTCTGGACCAGCCATCCATCCACGGTGGAAAGCATGGGCGACAAGGAGGGCTAGGGATGGCGAGGACTCTCAGGGGTGTGGTCCCTTGATCCCAGCCCCCTCATGGTGGGCGTTTTGACTCTGCACAACTGTTTAAAGTGTCTGTTTTCTACGATGTGAGCCATGCCCTCCCCTCACCAAAACCTACTCAAGATGAAAGGGTAAGTTGTTCTTTAGAAAGCAGCCTTTCAAAGTCTCTGGGAGGTGCCCAAGAATCAGACAACGGGGAGAAGCCAAGCTCTGACCTCTGTATGCAAATGGCTAGGCTTAGCCCTTCTCTGGGACTTCTCCACATACCACTGCCATACAGGGACCACACAACCAGAAATGATGATGGATCAAAACCCGGATCAACGGTCCCAGAGGGTCCCCTGGGGTGGCTGACCGAGACAGACATTTTGGCAAGTCTGAAATGAAAAGTCCATTCTTGAGGAAGTCCCTGCTTCCCTTGAGAAGCAAAGGCCTCAGTTCTGCTCATGAGTTGTTCTGATGAATGGTCAGAACCAAGAGATTTCCAGGCAGAGAGGCAGCAGGAGCAAAGGCCTTGTGGCCGAAGCCTGGGTTGCATATTAAGTGAAGCACAGTGGCTAGAGTGTTGGGGGGGCAGGGGTTTGTGGGTAGATGAGCTCAGAGACCACAGCAGCAAACTCCCCTGTCTCCACGCTGGGGCTCCTGAGGACAAACAGCCAGTGTTTGGTGTAGTTAGCACTGAATATCAAGCAGGCTTACTGCAGTCATTGAAGTTTTTATTTAAGATATTTATTTTCTTTTGTTTCCCCTTTAAGAAAAAAAAAGACTCAAAACCAAAGCCAGGGCCTCATGCCGGACAGGCAGGTTCTCCACTATTAAGCTGCATGTTCCCAGCATGACTTACTGTGTTTTTATATTAGGATGGGTGTTTTGAGATGATCTTCACCCTAAGTGCCTTCACAGTCGCCTTTACACTGGTGGGTCAAACACCTGTAATACTTTCCTGCTGAAAGACTACAATTCCCAGCTTCCCTTGCAGGTTTTCTTTGCGGTCATCTCCTGATTCTTCACCAGTGAAACTGCCATCCTCACTGCTCTGCTGGGACACCATAGAGACCATATCCCATCTTCACTATAGGACAAAGTAAGTGACAAGATGCCCCTTAACTATGAATAAACATGGTCAGGCCTAAAATCAGACTAAAGTTCTCGTTCTGATCTCTCTCTCTCTCTCTCTCTTTCTCTCTCCCTTCCTCCCTCCCTCTCATGAGCTCTGTAAAGTGGCACAGAATCAACCATTCCAAAGGCTATAGCAGCAGGCTGAGTGGATGAGGGGACGAATTCATGAAGAGCACACTTATTGTTTCCCCCTGAACAACTGAGAATTAGCATGGTGTCTACTGAGACGTTGGGTCCTGAGAAACAAGCATTGGAGGGGATGGCTTTCAACCTTTAAGTTTAAGGCTCTTTGCCACTACGTCTCTAAGCAAAGATGGAATGGGAGCTCAAGGGGCTTGCCAGCCACAGGCAAAACTGTTAGCAGGGAGGAGACATTTAAATTGCAGAATTAAGGGTGATGTTTTGAGAGAGTGCTGGTGCAATAGAATAGAAAGGAAGCATCGAGGCTGGGTCTTCAATCCACTGATTTTGGCAGGAGAGGGGTAGGGCCAGTGAGAGTTCATAAGCATGACCGAATTCCTGGAAGAAAGTGTCTTTGCAGCAGATGTACTGACTAGTCTTATGTCAACATAAGCTAGAGTCATCAGAGAAGAGGGAGCCTCAACTGGGGGAAAAAATGCCTCCAAAAGATCCAACTTTTTTTTAAAGCCATTTTCTTAACTAGCAATTGATGGGAGAAGGCCCAGGCCATTTATGGGTGGTGCCATACCTGGGCGGGTGGTCCTGGCTTCCGCAAGAAAGTAGGCTAAGCAAGTCATGAGAACCAAGCCAGTAAACAGCATCCCTCCTTGGCCTCTACATCAGCTCCTGCCTCCAGGTTCCCGCCTGGCTTGAGTTCCTCCCTGTCCTGACTTCCTTCAATGACGGACCGTGATATAGAAGAATAAGCCAAATAAACCCTTTTCTCCCTGAGTCGTTTTGGTCATAGTGTTTCATCACAACAAGAGTGGCCCCGACTAAGACAGTCGGTGACCCACTGTGTCTTACAAGCTGCTAATAGGCGACAATGGTGGATAATCCGCCACCGACTGTCCCAGCAGAGCAGTGAGGATGGCAGTTTCACTGGGGAAGATTCAGGAGATGACCACAAAGAAAACAGGAATCCCAAGTACATTTCATTTGCCACCCACACCATCATCAAGTATTTATTAATTTATTCCCTTAATATTCTTTTGGTGGCAGCTGGTTCAAATAAAGTTGGCTGAGTGACTGAGTGACGAGCGGCAGCTGACCCAGCTAGGGAGCAAAAAGGAGTAGGTGCTTCTGCCCAACTTGGGAAGCCCCTGCTGTGCTCTGGGCTAGGGGGAACACAGGATGGGATGCTCACATCAGCAGGTGTTCTGCTTTGTCCTGGGGACCAAACATCCAGATCTGCTGATGGAGTTCCCCGACTTGTAAATGTCACAAACGAATTCAAAGAAGTCTTCCAAAGCTCAGAGTGCCCAGAACTAGAGGCCAGAGGCTGAAGACCAGAGTTAGGCACGGAGCTCCTGGTTTGCCACTGCATATGGGAAATATGTCTTCTCTTGGAAATTTTACAGTCTCATAAGGGTAATAAGCAGAGTGAGTGGGGGGGGGGAGAGAGAGAGAGAGAGAGAGAGAGAGAGAGAGAGGGAGAGAGAGAGAGAGAGAGAGAGAGAGAGAGAGAGAGAGAGAGAGAGGAAAAAGAAAAGAAAAGAAAGAAAGAAGGCAGGCTACTACAGATGTGGGGAAGAACTAAAAAGGCCCTGCTACAGGTTGAATTATGTTCCTCTTGGGGGGAAGAGGTGGGAGGACACACTGAAGTTCTATGTGTCAGGCATCGAAGTGTGATTGTATTGGCGATTAGGTCATCATAGGTCCCATTATATAAAGCAGAGTAAGATCATACTGTAGCACAGTTGACATCTATTCTAATATGAATGGTTAGCTAGAGAGGAGGGGGAGGGGAGAGAAAGTGAGGAGAAGGAGGAGGCAATTCAGCTGGGCATAGTAACACCTGCCATATCCCAACATTCAGGAACTGAGGCAGGAGGATGGAGAGTTCCAAGCCAGCCAGAGTTATGTAGCAAAACCTTGTCTCAAAACAGCAAAAATAAGACTGGGCATGGTGACATGTGCCTTTAATCCGCACTCAGAAGTCATAGGCAGGTGGATCTCTCTGAATTAGAGGCCAGACTGAGTTCCAGAAGGGTCAGGGATACACACTGAGAACCTGTCTAAAATCAAAAAAGAAGGAAGGAAGGAAGGAAGGAAGGAAGGAAGGAAGGAAGGAAGGAAGGAAGGAAAAGAATGGACCAGAGAGAGTAGGGGAGGAAGAATATGAGCAAAGTATCGTGATACATACATGGGCAAATGTCATAATGAAACATTCTTTTCTATGTTAACTTTAAAAATTAAAATAAATTTCTTCCTAGCCATGAAAGTCCTCACTATAGACAAGCTGAAAGGACAGA